CAATTTCCTTTCCCTTCTCCTCCATCCCTCACCCTACCCCTGACTTCTGATGATTGCTCCGCTCTTTCACCATTTTTCACCTTCTTTTCCGGATCCTTTCTCTGAGTACCCAGAACATGATTATTGTTTTCGTCTTTACCCGCTTAATTATATTATTGTTTCTACCACTTCTTTTAATCTCAATCTCGAGTACTAGAATATCTGCTGCTTCTTTCTCGTCCTCCTCACTATCACCTTCATCAGCACCAGGAACATGCCATCGCGGTTGTGGGAACAAGTCCCAGGTCCAGTATCCTTTCGGATTCTCCCCGGGCTGCGACATTCAGTTGAATTGTACAGGGCACAGCGGGGAGATCACAATTGGGCAATTTCAAGTCCAAAATGTGACGGGGAACAGCTTGTTGATCCATCTTCCGCCAAATTGTAGTCGGAAGATTAGCGACCTGAATCAACTCGAGGGGCCGAACTTCGCGATGACGCGGCGAAATGGGCTTCTGTTCGATAGATGTAGGGTGCCGGTGAATGGATGTGCCGTCCCAATGACTCTGCTGAACTCCACGTTGGATGTCAAGGAGAGCTGTAGCGGCGGTCATGATAATAATACCAGTTGTTATTCGGGTGCAAGCAAAAATAGTTCTAAATTTTTCGACTCTGATCATCTCAAGCAGATCAATTGTACGGTCGTGTATTCGTCCATAGCGGTTGCTCTGGATGACACAAATGACGACGACAATAGGTCGAGCGTGAGCACGGCTTTGTTGCTGAATTTCCAGACTTTGGAGTTAGGGTGGTGGCTCGATGGCCCCTGCAACTGTCACGAGTCTGCGTCCTGTACTAACGTATCGACTCCCAGACGTCGCCAGGGGTACCGATGCCGGTGTAAGGAAGGGTTCGTCGGAGATGGCTTCGCGGACGGTGGTGGTTGTAAAAGAGGTGCGTTGCTCGCCGGCTTTTTTTTTTCCTTTTTCTTACGCCTTTTGATTTTGCATTTTATTAGTTTCCTTGGTGTTTGTGATCGTAGATTTTACCTCCTTAGTAGTAGTGGTAGTGGTATTCATTTTCCTTAATGGTAAATACTAGTAGTATAGTAGCTGTAACAAAATTTGGAAGCCCCCTTTCTTTGAACGGCATTTTGTCGTGTTGCAAAAATCCACTACATCCAATTATAGTTTAATCACCCTTAGGTTCTAATTAAACTTTATCAAGGAGCAAGTAATTCTCAAGCGGTTTGACTCGACAAACCAAACAAGCCCAAGCTTGGGATGGAAATTCGTTTGGAGTACTTTTATACTACGTACAACACTAGTTTTATTATCTCCCCGATGGCTTAATCCAATTGTTTTTGAGTTTTGACTCCGGGCGCTATGTGAAAGGTCTTTTTGTATTTATTTGACCAACGAGAAGGAGCCATATTTTTCATATTTTGTGGGCTGATTAGGAGTCAGTCAGTCTACGCAGGATAAGGCTGCTCATTCTTGACGGAAGGAGTTCAAAAAATAGATAAAGAGGAAAACCATTGGACTCCAGAAGAATTCCTTGTCCGTCGGCATAGATTTATTACTTTTGACCTTCAAGGTTTTTAACCTGTCCAAACTCTCGGACAAATTGTGGCAACATAGTTCATTTAATTAAACAGTTAGATCTAACGACATTCTGGTTTTACTTTGTTGGTTGATTTATTTAACAACTAAAATGAAAACTTCGAAGATTATATATAGATATTCTTAATTAATTTAACTCTGTATTTTTAAAATTTCACTTCTTCCCTTCTATTTAATTAAAGATTAAAGGAAAAAAAAAATCATTGAGTCACGAAGGGAGCCTTCAGAAGAATCTTCCACGCTATGGCGTACGCCTATTGGCCAGTCATGATCATGTGTCATCATCCCCAATAATGAAGGGTGTGGAAATTTTATTGGTTTGACTTTAAGCATCGTTGATGATGGTTACCGATTGCTATGTGGCATGTGCAATGGCTTACGAGGTCCTGAAGGAAGCTAGTATGTAGTATTTGGTGTTGTCTGCAACTGCATGCTAGCTATTCACGCGACGTGTAATCTTTGGGGCCAAAGACTGAACCACTATGCGACCTAGAGGAGCTAGTAGTCCCCATGATTATTGGGATGTTAAATTCTTAAATGCGCCGCCATGGTCAATCGAGAGGGGAGACTTGGTGAAGTAGAATATTATACTAGCAGTTCACACGATCCTAAGCTTGAGGATGCAACAATCACTGATTTATTTTTCATTTATTCTTAGTGGTTCAACTCGTAAACTGATATTTAAATTGTTGAGAAACTTGACAAACGATCTCTCCTCGAGAGCTCGGGCTTGAGGAAGTCAAGCGAGCCACTTTTGTGTTACTGGTATTTGTTCCTTGCAATGCTCATTCATTCTTTTTCCCCCCCTCCCTTTCCAGTGCTCATTCTTATTAGGGCAACGATTCTAGAATCAGCATTCAAAAACAGCTCATGCATTGTCTCTTATTACATCCTTAAACAGGGTTAAAAAAAATAAAGAAAAAAATTTTCCCTAAAGACTTGAAGGCGCAATAAAAATGTTACGAATCTGAAGTGTTTGCTAATTAGAAGAAAGCATAATTAAATTAAACTCTCTGAACTGAAAAGTGTGGCTTCTCTTGCTAAGCAAGACTACCGTACCTTTAGAAGAACAGCCCTTCAGTTAACTGTTCCCTTTCATTTTTCATGCTCGTTAATTCCCTAATCTTTCATCATCATTTACAATCTCCACAGCTTCTACCTGCAATGCTTCAAGATACATGCCAGGTCGATGTGGTGGGACTACAAAAGTTGGCATTCTTGTTGGAGGTAAATTTTTATTGGCTCTGTGATTCGGAAAACTCTTCTAAACTCTTCAAATGGCGATAGAAATGTTTGCTCCCATTGCCAGATAAATTAAATGCTTTGATATCTCATTTACTGGTGGCTTCTATTTATAGCAGTCTTGTTTGATACTTGCATGGAACTTCTTTTGTCAAGGTATCATATCTGCTAAGGAATCTGCATTAATCTACACCTCTTGTAAACTTATCATGTAGAATTGCAATCTCGAGATTCAAATGGAACTATTAAAGAAATTCCAGGGTTGTGCGCTTAATTCAAAAAGTTATTCTCCTGCTCTTACTCTGCCAGATCCAGGCTGCATTTTGTTGCAACTGCCTAAGCTGGTGTAATACGTATTGCATTAATGAATCTTCACCACTCCACCACACACAAAAAAGCGGCTTTTATAACTGGAAATGGTAGTTTCTTTTATAACTGTCTCGCCTTGGTTCAAGGCTGTGAACTAATGTAATAGGGTTCTAACTAAAGTTGCCAGAGGAAATTACTATTACCGGAAAGCTAATTACTTCTAAAATTTGACAGTGGGCCGCCCTTTTTTTGTAGGGATAATTGCTGGAGCTTCTCTCATGGTTGTTTTATCTCTTTTCTACTACTGCATCCGGAAGCGATCAAAATTGTTGAAGAGCCGAATGAGTGCAAAGCGTCTTCTGGGTGAAGCTGCTGGCAGCTCTGGCATTTCTTTTTATCCCTATAAAGATATTGAGAAGGCCACATTGGCCTTTTCTGATAAACAAAGGCTGGGAACAGGGGCCTATGGTACAGTTTATGCAGGAAAGCTCCATAACGATGAGTGGGTTGCTATTAAAAAAATAAAGCATCGCGATCATGAAAGCATCGAACAAGTCATGAACGAGATCAAGCTTCTGTCTGCTGTGAGCCATCCTAATCTGGTACGCCTCTTAGGTTGCTGTATAGAGGACGGTGAACAAATCCTTGTTTACGAATTCATGCCGAATGGGACTTTGTCTCAGCATCTACAAAGAGAAAGAGGTTCAGGGCTTCCATGGACAATTCGCCTTGACATTGCCACTGAAACTGCTCGTGCAATTGCTCATCTTCATTCGGCAATTAATCCACCGATATACCATAGAGACATTAAATCTAGTAACATACTCTTAGACTATAACTACAAGTCAAAGGTGGCGGACTTTGGCCTTTCGAGATTTGGCATGATGGATGATTCCCATGTATCCACTGCTCCACAGGGAACCCCAGGCTACCTCGATCCTCAGTATCATCAGAACTTCCATCTTTCAGATAAAAGTGATGTATACAGCTTTGGGGTTGTTCTGGTTGAGATTATTACAGCATTGAAAGTGGTGGATTTCTCGCGAGCTCACAGTGAGATTAACTTGGCTGCGCTTGCTATTGAGAGGATAGGGAAAGGTTGTCTGGATGAGATAATTGATCCATTTCTTGAGCCTCACAGGGATGCTTGGACACTCTCATCTATTCACAAAGTAGCAGAGCTGGCTTTTAGATGCCTTGCTTTTCATCGAGACATGAGACCGTCCATGATGGAAGTGGCAGATGAACTTGAACAAATCAGGCTTAGTGGCTGGGCACCGCTAGACGAGAATATCTGCATGGCATCATCAGCGGCATCCTCTTGTTCGTCTCCATTTAATGGAAGTGAGAAATCTTTTAACAGTAGAACAACAAAGAAGAAGACGGGGGTAGGAAGTAGGAGAACAAACGTTTCACGAGGAGGAGGTGATTCGCTATCTACCACGGAAGAGACAAAGGACAGTTCCCTTGTCTCAGTCCAGGATCCCTGGTTAAGTGAGCAGGACTCGCCATCAACGAACAGTTTGTTGAGCAACATTGTTCACTAATGAAATTACTGTGTCGTCTGCACATAACTTCCCATTAAAGCCGTCTTGTGGATAAAATATACTATTAGGCAATGAATGGTGATTAAAGCCTTCTTGCAGCCATTATTCTGATGAAGTTGGTTTACTTATCATATCAGTCTCACTTCTTCCCGTGAACATTATTGGACCAGATTGTCTCAGCCGTCCACATTTTATTTTCTAGTAAAACAAGCTGCAGCGAAAAGAGTCAGATGACTGAAATTCGAGTTTTATCCAACAAACTTTGGTGCAAAAAACTTAAAAAAAAAAAAAAAAAACGAGATGGAGTAAAGTTCACAGATTGCATGTAGTACTAGGAATTCAACGTCAAAGCTACAAATGAGACGGAGGATTATACATACACGATACAACCAATTACAAATTACATTCTGCGTTGCAGAAAAACGAACAAATGGGCTCAAGATTTCTGAGCTTCAGGCCCTAAAATCCCGTCCACAACTGACGTGGCAACCAGAACACCAACAAATTCAGCTCCCGCCACCACGCCCGCCTGGGCAAATCCTCCGAAACTCACCGCCCCTTCGATCTGTTTCTCCGCTGACACTATGTCTTTCTCCGCCGTCTTTAGGCCTTTCTCCGCCGCTTCAATTCCCTTTCCCGCCACTTCAATTCCCTTGTCAGCTGCCTCGAACCCTTCCCTAACTATCTCCTCAGCTGCTTCCTCCGCTTTCTTCAGCTTCTTCCTCAACCCGAACAACCCTATGTCCTGCGCTCTAGACGGCATCTCCCCAGCCTTCAGTGCTGTGGTCGCGGTCATCAGCAACAGCAACTCCCTCCTTCCCGGAATGCCAACCGGCGCAACCCTATTGACGCGAGAATTGTGCGAAACAGAGTGGTCGTGGCGCACACAGTGGAGGGTGAGTGTGCGTGCTACTATTGAGCTTGTGGACGCCATTGCTTTTCCTCTCACTAACCGGCGAGCTCTGAAGCTAATCCTCCACCAGTTTAAAACTGGTATCATCCAGATGAAAGGACCAAAAGAACCCCACCCGTCTCAAAGAGGCTTCTGGAGAAATCTTTCGGGCTTTTAGTCATTTTAAAATACAAATTTGGTCACAAAATTGTTGGTTGAGAAAATGGTTGGTTTATTTCGTCCTCCAAAAAATTTTTTTTTTTAGTTCCCACTTAATTAGCCCTTGCACAGTTGCACTTGTTTCCAAATTCCAATAGGAATTCTTTATGGTACGATTTTCAAATGAAATAGTACGCGTTTTCTAATTAAGTAACTCATTTTTATAACTAATAATAAAGTGGTACAATTCTATACACTTTTTTTTTTTTTTGAATGAAGTGATACATATTTCTAAAAAAATCATGAGACTGATAAAGTAAATTAGTTTCATTGAGTTCAATTCTGAATTAGGCTATAAGTGACAAAAGGGTTTGCCTTACTCATAATTCTAACATAGTGGTATAAATTCTCTCTTTCATTTAAGGTTTTTTTTTAAATGGACACTCGTTAATACTTCTAAATAATACATATTTTACTATATGAATGCATATACTAACAATAAACGAGTGTGTTTGGATGGTAGATTATTTGAGATAATATTTTAATGTGATATTTGTGAGATAAAAATATGATTGAAAAATTGTTGATGATGCAAGAACATAAAAATGGACAAAAAAACCACAGTCCAAATTTTGTCTCGTATTTAGAAACATTAGTACCTAAACTACATTTTAATAGGATACTCATTAAAACTCTTCATTTACAAAAAGATTTTTTTGAAAGATGCTCAAGGGACATTTGTTGAGAGTTCTAAATTGCACATAACTTACCATATCAATACATGTACTAACAATTATTATTCTATATTGCATTTATAAGCTCTTCCTAATTAATTTTATATTTCCAAAATATTAACACCTAAATTACATCATTGGTGCATTGTTAGACAAGAGTCACAAGACCCTTTTTAAAGAAAAAAAAAATCAAGTTGGTTGTTGGCATAATTTCCTTATACAGAGGAATTTGATTTCCCAATGTGGTATTTGATTTCCTTAAATTTTTTCTCGATTAAGGGTCTGTTTGGTTGGAAGTAAAATGTTTTCCTTGGGAAAATATTTTCCGTGGAAGTAATTTTCCATGAAAATCATTTCCCTTTCATCATTTTCAGGTGTTTGGTTAGCTTATTGAAAATATTTTCTTACTTCATTTTTCTGGTGTTTGTTTAACTTTTGAAATATTTTCACTTTTATCTCTATTTTTACTTTCTACACATTATAACTACATATTTCTTCCCATGCAAAATAAGAAAATTTATCTCATTGTTTAACTTTAAAAAATCTTGGAGAAAGGTATATACGAATAAAAAATATCTCCTTAAGCAAATAAATAAATTGCTGGCCATTTAGTGTCAAATATCAATCACATGCAATGCTTATTGTGACATATATCTTGCACTCTCACTGCTGAAAGTTTCTCTAGAAAAGAATGTCCCTATTATACATAATTAATTACTAGCATAGGATGAGCAGAATGAGGTTTTTTTTTATTTTGAATATACTAGGGGGAGGGTTGGGTGGTACGGGGGAGGGAGTGTAAGGAAGAGATCTTGGGTTCGAGTCTTCATGTTTACACTAAAAAAAAAAAGAACATACTACAAGATGATTTCAGTAAGTTTGGAACATACTACAGGCAAGATGCATGCATTTCGAAAAACAACTTCAGGAAGTTGGGAAAGGAAGTTGTTTTCCATAAGATGAGTGAAAATATTTTACATAGGAAAATGTTTTCAGTAACTTTTGTGCAACCAAACACGGGAAATTAGGAAAATATTTTCACCCGAAACAAACGGACCCTAAGGGACTGTAGTTTTCTAACAAGTAACGAGCAGCTTTATTTTTCTTTTCACTTCTTTTTTTTCAAAGAAGTACAAGTATTTACTACATTTGTCAGTAAAGGTAGTACTACGAATTCTCACAATTTTGGCTGCCTAAGTATGAGAGATTAGCAACAGCAAAACCAATTAATCCTAGACGGCGTCGTCTGGTAATTACCGCAATGTATCTCACAATTTTGGCCTGCCTATGAGAGATTAGCAACAGCAAAACCAATTAATACTAGACGGCGTCGTCTGGTATATTACCCGCAATATTTGGTCTCCCGAAATGAACATTTTCGTTTTTGCGCCAGAAATCGAAGGTATTCTCTTTTTAAAGTTGAGAAATAGAAAGAGGATTTAGAAAAGTAGGGTTTTGAAATTCATGGCGGAGGAAGCCCCGAATTCCGACATCGAAGGTCCAAACGTCGTCCAGAATCAGAATTCCGCTGAAGCAACCATCGAATCGGAGTTACAAGGAGGCACAGAGTCTACGTGCAACAATGCCGAGAGCTCGACCATCTCGTCCGGCTGCGAACGGGAGAAGTCTCTTGAGTACGCCGAAGAGTTGATGGAGCTCGGTTCAAAGGCCGCAAAAGAACGGGACTACGCCGAGGCCACTGATTACTACAGTCGTGCTTTAGAAATAAGGTTGTATATGTGAAACCCCAATTTCTTTACCGAGAATTTCATCTTTCTTGAGTTAATTTTGGAAATGTTTTTTCTAGGGTCGCGCATTTTGGTGAATTGGCACCGGAATGTGTGAATGCTTATTATAAGTATGGATGTGCGTTGCTTTATAAAGCACAAGAAGAGGCGGATCCTCTTGGCGCTGTGCCGAAGAAAGAAAGCGAAGTGAAGGCAGATTCCGACAAGGATGGATCTGTTGAGAGTGGAGCAACTGGTGAACCCTCTGCAACTCCTGCTGCGAGTAAGGCGGGAGAAGCTGCTACTTCAAGCACTCATCTGGAAAAAGAGAATGAACTGGAGACTGACGGTGTGTCATCCCGTGCATTATATTGTTCTATGATATTTCGCTTATTTTCAAGTGATTTATTGATGAGAGATGCACATTAAGAAAATATAAGTAATCAATGATTTACTAGTCCATTCCCATCCATTACAGTTACAGTGTTTAAAATGACTTTAGAGTGTTGTCTTGCTCGTACTTTGTCAATCATTTTGACCTGCTTTAGACTAATCTATATTTACATAATAAATCGGGCAGTCTTTTTGAGTCATTGATTGTTGTGTTGAGTTGAAGCATCTTTGCTGTAGCCCATTTATCCTTTTTGAGTAGCATTAGTTGGGATTACCTTGCTCCTGTCCGTATATCAGAGCATGAAACTTCTTCTATATTCTGTCACTCTATTTGTATTAATTTTCTAACACAAACTTTGCAGACTCCAGAGAAATTGTTCCATACCTCATCTGATCCCGGGGCTGCTGAAAACAAGGAAAATTCTATGTTTGCCATTAAAATTTTGCAATTTGGGTCCTTTTTTGGTGTTTTATGCAATTCTATTACTCTGCATGGTTTCGTCTGAATCATTACACGCTGCACAGCATGAACACTTTCAGAAAGAACATAAATATGCGCTGGTGCACTTTTCAGTAAGTTGGCATATTTTTTAGGCTATCTTGCTAGGGTTAATAGTTGGGCCTTTTCATGTCACCAATTGACTTTTCATTTGGTATGCTTCAACTTATCCTTGCTTTTCTGTTGCCATATTGCGCAAGATTGTGAAAAGTTTGTGTACTAGGAAAACAACCATGTAAAAAAGGTTTAGAAACGGTTGTATCATAAAGAAATTTATTCTTACTGTTAAACAACACTCAAAAGATATATTAGAGGTCTTACTAGTCGTTCAGTTAGAAATTTGTCTAGGTTGTAATAGATAATGCAAAATAGTTCTTATATGTTATGGCTGGTTCAGACACTTTCTCAATACTTACAGTGAGAGCTGTGGTTGCACTGAAATTGTAAGACTTGAGTAGGAGTCTCAACAGTCTGTATGTTGGTGGTAATAAATACAAACAAATTGAGCTCTTTATGTTTTCAAAGAATGGTTGAATATTGTCAATGATTATCACCATTTTGGCGAAGCATATGATCTTTTACGCAGGCTTTTCCCCTTCTCCAGAAAGAACTGAAGCGAAAGATGTGGAAGAAGATGAAGAGGAAACTGACAGTGAAGACGTAGCTGAAGCTGATGAGGATGAATCTGACCTGGATTTGGCATGGAAAATGTTGGATGTTGCCAGGGCAATTGTTGAAAAGCACTCTGAGGACACAATGGAGAAGGTAGACATATTGTCAGCATTGGCAGAAGTTGCTTTGGAAAGAGGTCTGTTTTCTGTACTAGTGAAGAGTACCTTTTTATAACTATACAGAACTCTGCAGCTTCTCTATTTTAGTTTATAAGTTACTATGATTAGCTTCATTTTATTTGTGTAGAGGATGTTGAAACTTCGCTTAGTGATTACCTGAAGGCCCTCTCGATCTTGGAACGCCTTGTTGAACCAGACAGTCGACATATAGCTGAACTGTATCCTCGTTCACTTTCAGTTTTTAAAAAAAAAAAATCTGGGATCATGCATACAAGTAATCAACTTATTATTCCTGATTTAAGCAAATAACAAATGTGTTTCAGCTTCACCTGTCATTTATATCTGACACGTCATTTTGCTTAACTGGATAATTTAGAAACTTTAGGTTATGTCTGTGTTTGGAAATTGGTTCTAAACCTGAGGAAGCAATTCCCTATTGCAAAAAGGCTATCTCCATTTGCATCTCTAGGTTGGAGCGGCTTACTAAAGAGGCAAAGGAGTTGGCAGACTCAACCTCAAAAGCAGCTGATTCAGAATCAGACCGAACTCTTCAACACTGTTCTAGTACATCCAAGTCGGTCATATCTGCCACTGCCAAAGAATCAGAGATTGAAACACTCTCTGGTCTCTCTGATGAACTAGAAAAGAAAGTGAGTTTGACTTAGATCTGCCTATGGTGATTGTTAAAGCAATTGTTTCTACTCAGCTTAATTATTGTGATTTCTTTGACATGCAGCTTGAAGATCTACACCAGCTTGTTTTGAACAAAAAATCTTTGCTTTCAGATCTCATGTATATGATGGCTGCAAAGGACATTGAAAAAACTGCAGCTACTGCTGCTGCTTCTGTACAAATGAGCTCTTCTCAGATGGGAACTGCTAATAGCACTGGGGGTGTTGATTCTTCAACTGTTTCCACAGCTCACACTAATGGTTCTGCTGGAGTAACACATCTTGGAGTGGTGGGAAGAGGAGTCAAGCGAGTCCTAATGGACCCAAGCACCTCCAACTCCAATCCTGTGAAAAAACCTTCTGTAGAGCCTTCACAAAATAACACTGATGGCAATGCTTCTTGAAGGTCCTTACATTTGAATCTTGGTATTGGAACAATATTCTGTGTAGAGATTTAAAATTGGTGGTAACATATGTCGTTAGTTCTCTATGTTGTTATTTGGTCCTTGATGCAAGAAAGTAGTTTTGGCCTTGTCTGAGAATAGCTGTGAGACAATGAAAAACTGACTGCTTTATTCCTGCAGCTTGTAGATCATCCTTGCGGCCCATGATTGCATGTTTGCACTACATTGTCATTTTCAATGTTTTGTGATGATTACTACGGGTATTTGAGTAAATGTAGTTTAATTATCATCAGCTATCTGCAATTACCAGCGATTTTAAAGCAAGTGTTCAGGCAATGTGTATGGCCCATGGTGATGATTGAATCTTGTTGAAGGCATCATAGTCGCATGTAATACTCGTTAGGTCTCTACGTGATTGTGTGTTTATCTTGTACTAAGCTTAGCTACTTGTTTTGGTGCTGTTTGCTAAGTTCATCTGTTTGTGTCGATGAACAAATATTTTATGGCAACAAGCATAGAAGTTGAAGCCAGCGGGTCCGAACGCATAAATCCATAAGCTTTTTGTATTTTGGCTTGGTACAGTGGATATATCGCCAATCACAAACTTTCATGTGATGCCTCAGAACATGGGTAGCAGGTAGCTACTGATTTGTCCTTTGTGAATGTTTGCGATATTCTCTTTAGATATGATTGGGCACAATGGGTCCATAAATGTTTTGTAACGGTTGGTCTGTCCGATGATGTATAGAGCTGTTTTTGTCCACGCATTTCGGTTGCCCAAATCAGTTTGATTAGATGCAATTTTTCTGCCGAAATCTACAATTGCAAAGTAGAAGAGAGCCGTGGGACACTTGAAAAAATCAATTCTCCGAAGCATTTTTGGAAAGATGCCAAACGCTGAATACAATGTGGCATCCTCACTGTTGCAGCTGAAAAAAGGGCGGAGGCTCCAGCTAAAGAGTATTTGGGGAATTCCTATGTAAAGCGATACCTTCAACACCAAGGTGTCTCGGAGGCGTTCAAGGAGAGAGGACAAATATTATACATCACAGTCGATAGGTGTGATTATCTATATAAGCCCCCATCCTAAGAATAAGGGGTGAAAAAGCAGTAGAATCCAAAAATAAAGCAACCTTGCATTGAAGGGGGTATAAAATATAAATCACCTGCCAAAACATGTGTTACAGAGTGAGTTGCAAGGAATGCGGGAACTTCTCCTGGGGTGGCTGTGGCAGACATTTGACGACTCTCTACTCCAGCATTGAAAAGGGGAAGCATTGTATGTGTCGACCTTGGCCAGGTGTAGCCATTCCATCCGACTCCAAACCGGAGAAGGTACCAGCTTCAACAACCGCACCCACAGGTATATAAAAATCATCGGAGCAAGCTGCTCTCCATTACCATTGTTCTCCAATTTCCCTCAATACATCTTTGGATCAAAGACACATGTGCCAAGTATCATCCAATTGCCGACATTAGTTTTTTAAACTATATATTTACTTAACCATGGTAGAAGATAAAGTTTGACGTCATTGAATAATGACAATCTATTAAATGAAACTTACCATCTTATCTAGGGGTAACCATGGTTCAGGTTTGAATCCAAATTGAATCGAGACCGACTCGACGGTTTGTTGAACCAGAACCAGAACCAGAATTGGATTTTGGAAATCGGAACTAGAATCATAACTGTAACTAAATGTTCAGGTTTAGATTCATATTCACTAAAATTTTGAATCGGAACTAGAATCGGCAGTTTAGGACCTGCTTAAACTGTCTGAAAAAATATTTGCCACCTAAATATATTTGGTCAGTTTAGAGTTCAATATCGATAGTCATCACCTAATACCTGTAATTTCAATCATAATCCAACAATCCATTGTCCCATTCTTTTAGTAGATCTTTACCTCATGATTAATTTAAATCCAAGACTAATATAATCTAAACCCATTGTCCCATTCTTTTAGTAAATCTATACTCCATGATTAACCAAAACCAATCTAATATAATCAACAATGAGATTTTTTTGTTATATAAAATTTGCATGATTTTTGCTTTTATAGAAGTTGTAATTTGATCAATCTTTTGCTATTGCAAAAGTTTTTTTCACCAATCAATCGTATTACAATAATCTACACCAAATTTCCTTCCTATAAAAAATGTACCATCAAAAGTCACCGTTATTAACTAATATAATCCATAATATAGTCCACACCGATCATCAGTACACAAAAAAACAGAGTAATTAGATACAACTTTATACATTGTATGATTTTTTGTTGATGAACTCATTCTTTGAAAACTTGTTGAGTATAACCATTATTGGTTTATATGGTGATGGAGAAAATTATACAAAAGGAAATTTTCTTTTACTCTATATAATAGATAAAATACATTTTTGATGAGATGTATAATTTTGTTCATCATTTGGCTTGTCTTTGAATGAGATATGAAAGTCCCTTTATATAGTATATCAGAAAATATCTGTACGGGTGGTACTTTAATTAATTTAGTCGAAAAAATGTTAAATGCGTCTTTTCTTGGGGTAAAGAAATAAAACAGAAAGAATAAATGAGGTTTGAATAAATAATTAAACAAATTACGAAAAGATAATTTTGATTAGCTCTCCCTCTGATCCAAACTAATAAGGATCCCTCAAATTTTGGCATGACATATTAGAGTCTTTATTTATTTATTTTTTGGAAGGACACGACATATTAGAGTCGGAACCGAAGTTTGTTGGGTTGGCTTCTTAACCAAGGTTTATTTATAAGTAAGTGTGTTCTGGACCAGTAATCAAACATGTACTGTACTCCTGGAGAGGATCCGGGTCCATAAATAACCATCAGGGTTTGTGTTTACTTGGGTTGACGAGCATTAGATATTAAAGTAAATTTGAACAAAGTATTTTATGGGGAACCTAGCGATGCACCCAATATATATATAGAAATAGCAGTTGACCCAATAATTTCTGTTCTCGCGCATAATATGCGGTGGCTTTTGACGTTAATTGGAGATATGACAAGTACCATTTTTCATTAATCAAAGTTTAGGATAGAGATGGTCATTACATTAGCATTGAGTGCTGAGCATCAAACATTTTAGTCTTTTCTTTTTTATTTTTAAGAGACAGGACAGGAAAAACAAAAGAAAAGGATAAAAAAAAAAATTTATTTGTCCAATTAACGAGTTCCGCTCGTGACTGATAAGTCACATGAATGAAACCATTCCATGGATTGACAGAGCTGCATTAGTTCACGGTTTTGTAGGCTCTACATTAAGTAACAATAATAGGGTAAGACGCATGACCAAAAAAAGCCAAGTCTGTCTATATTAAGACAAAACCAAAATAGAGCGAGACCTGATAATGGACGAGGGCCATTTATTTATTGGACTAATCAATCTTCTGCTGTGACGTGACCGTGCACGTATTGTCACGTTTAGATGAATGTTATTAATCTGTGCTGAATTTAAATTTTAAATCTAAATTTTACTTACGTGCACTGTCAGTATATATAAAATTTTATTATTATATTTTTTTTTGCTCGTTTTCTTCTTCTGCAGCAAAAATGAATTCTTCTTAAGGACGCTATGGTCAGCACACAGCAACATCACTTATCCTGGCGGGGCTTAAGAATAAACGATGGGCTATCGATACAACGGCGACTTTTGTTGTTGTTTTTTCCATCCCTCCGTGGTCCTGGTCCTGGTCCTGGTCCTGGTGTTGTCTTTTTTAAGCGTGTTTTTGTTTTGTGGCGGATGCTTTCTGCAAATTTGATCAAGGTCAATTAGCATTGACCAAACCTGCTTGCGTTTCCAAGTTCAAAGCTTGAATGTATTAAAAAATATAATAATCCCTTTTCTTTTTTAACCTTGTGCAGGGTGCCTTAAAAATTTCTATTTACTGTAATGGTTTCCAGTTTCCACTCCACTTTTAAGCTGTTAAACATGAATCAATTTGACCACATTTATGAGTAATGACCCACGTGTTCACTCAATCGGGGCCGTGATTATTGTGCCACAAAGGTGCATTCCTTCCTAAACTTCTTTTGATTCGTCTTCCGGCCTTCAAGACCTGGGTATGTACGTTCAATTTCGAAATTTGAAAAGCCTGAGCCGCAAAATTAATACTACTGGTTTTGCGACCACCTACCTGTCAATTCATTAAGATGACATTAAGGCATACAAAAGGTACCAAGATTGGGTTGGTTAGGCCTGCAGGGTCCGCTGTTACTAATGGCAAGATAACCATAGGATCTGATCTCTGGGTTTCTTTTTCGGGCATGACTCAAAGGGGTGGCCATCGTCACCTCCTTGTCAAGGACGATGAATCAATACCAATAAAAATTCTTTTACAAATGTTGGTTTGATTGTGTTGTAGGGTCTGTGCCCAATGGGTACTTGTTGAGAAAAATATATAAACGCAAATGAGAGCGATACTTACTTGTCGGTGTGGACGTGCCTGTAGTGCATCTGGTACGTAGGACGCGATTTAAGTGTGTTAACCATTAGAAAAACCCTATGTTGTATATTAACTGTTTGGATTGCATTTTCTGAAATGTTTTTGGGGAAAGATTACTTTTTTTTTTTTTTTTGGGTAGGATGTGATCTATGTATGGCAAAAAAAAAAAAGTGATCAAAAAATGTGAATAGAAATATTCTGACAAGAACCTAAAAAACTTTTCTACAAAAAATCAATCCAAACAGGACTCAATATTTATTATTGGTACTTTTATGGACATTTAATACTCTTCTAAAATTTCCGTTCCACATTCATATTGAAATTCAAACATTGATCTCGTGGGTCACGGTGAACGCGTAAGCTACCGAAGACCTTTGAAATTGGGAGCCCACGATTTCAGAGCTTCGAGTCGAACAATAGCTGGAAATGTGGGCTTCTAGTGTCGCTCGCAATCAAGTTACATCCAATCTGCTTGTGGGATCGTTTAAATCTTCTAAACTGGATCCACATAATCATACATTTTGACCCCATTTATGGTTTATCAATTTAGTTAATAAATTATTGTGGAAAGGGATTTAAATAAACAACACTAACACATCCAACACATCAGCAGAGAGAGGGGGGGAAGGGGAATAATTAGACAATAAAATATTATGGCGGTGCTCGTGAATTTGTGTATGGATAACTTGAAGTCAATCAATGTAAACGAGCATAAAAGATGTAAATGAAAAACAGATTAGTCGTAGATAGTAGAACGGATGCGGATACTTACCTGTGAATTATACCCAAAAAAAA